GGGATCTAAAGATCTTTCTTGCATCCTCGTAACCTATAGCTTTTTCTCTATATCTTAGGGGCCCATAGAAATCTCTCATTTCCTAGGATCCATCGACACCTCAATATTCCTGGAATATGCAGCAAGGTCTACATTCCATGGATCTACTATCCCAGGTCTCAGGGATCTATAGATCTCTCCCCCAGGGATCTACTCCTGTGCAATGCGGAGATGAGGGTTCCCATTTGCATCTTTGAACAGTGTTTTTTTTTCAAATTTGTATATATATTTTCTTTCTTTTACCGTGGTGCCTGCCGCTGAAAGCTGTCGGTGGCTCCGGTCCCGGCTCGAGCTGCCGCCGGCTCCTCTCAGACATGGCGCGGCCGACCGTTAATACCGCGGTGTCCCAGGAACACACGTCCGCCGGAAACGGGTTGCTGCCACCTCCAGCCACCCAGCGGTGTCCCAGAAACACACGTCCGCCGGAAACAGATTCCTGCCACCTCCAGCCACCAAGCGGTGTCCCTGGGGGCAGCCGTCCGCCGCAAACAGATTCCTGCCACCTCCAGCCACCAAGCGGTGTCCCCGGGGGCAGCCGTCCGCCGGAAACCGATTACCCTCCACCTCCACAAATCCGTTCCACCCATCCAGGTGCCCCAGGGGATAGCCGTGGGCCTCGGGGAACAAAAAAAAATCAGCCAACAACAAAATCAAAAACGTCCCCTGTATGGTTTTCCTAGTGTAGTGATTGGAACTAGGTGGATCTTAATGACTATGAGATCCCTGATAGGGGCTGTTAACCAGGGCCACTTAGGGAGCCCTGGCTGACAGATTTAAACAGGAGATACAGAGTCTCCTCACTTAATGGACTGACTCCGAGTTAGCTGGTCACAGCCTGTACACTGTGCACATGTAAATAAAGGGTGACTTGTTGATGGGATACTGGCCTCTGTACAGTTCTTTCACAGTCAATGAAATGCATTGTGTTTGTTGTTCAGACGCATTCTCTGTTGTAAAGTAGGGAGTAGAGAATTGGTAGGATCCCCAAACAGCAGATTTTTGCACTCTCCCACCAGTTACAATGTGGTAATGAACACATCTCTGGGGCAGTGGAAGGACCAAGCTGTATATACAGCATCAAGTTGCTTCTGTGGAGAAACAGAGTTCAGATTAATCACCTTCCATCAGAATTCAAATTGAAGTTTTGTACCTCGGTGCTACACAGGAGGTGCTGCCCCAACACCTAGCCCCTCATCTCCATCCAAGGCCCAAGACAAACTTTCCATGTCTGACAGGGATTCACCTGTACGTCTTCCAATCAGGTCTACTGTATCCGTTGCTCTCGCTGTGGTCTCTTCTACATCGGTTAAACGAAATGTACACTCAGAGACTGATTCGAGGAGCATCTGCATCTGTACGCTAATATCAACAGCACCTTCCAGTCGAACCATTTTAACTCCCCCCTCCTTGGGTGACACGTCCATCCTGGGCCTCCTCTAGTGCCACAATGACGCCACACGCAAACTAGAGGAGCAACACCTCATATTCTGCCTCGGGAGCCTACAGCCTGATGGCCTAAACACCCAGCCTTCCACCCACAGCCTCATCACATGTCTAACCCTCCCTCTCATGCCCGCTTCCTTGACCTGATACTACCTGTCCATCTTCTTTCCCATCTATCCGCTCCACCATTCCCGCTGACCAATCCCCACCACCCCACACTTGCATCCACCAATCATTGTCCCACCTACCTGCCCAAGCCCCACCCCTCCTATTTATTTCTGAGCTCCCTTCCCCCCTCTCCAGTCCTGATGAAGGGTCCAGATCCGAAATGTCGACTTTCCTGCTTCTCTGGTGCTGCGTCTCCTGCTGTCTTCCTCCAGCTCCACACTGTATGGATGACAAAAACACTGTCATCATGTAGCCATGGGAATTAACCGAGTCATACAGGGATACAGAACATATTACATAAATATTCGGCAGAGAGGGGGAGGATTTGTTTGTTTCAAAATGGTTGTTGGAATAGGCTGGAGGACTGGTTGGGGTTTGGGGTACACTGGTTGGTAAGCAGCAGAGTTCAGTGTCTGATCCTTCATTTGCTCAGTCTTTGGATTCAGACACATACACACACACAAACACACACTAAACAGTGCGGATGCCTCAAGCATGTTGACTTCATAGGCGCTTGAATAAATGTTTCCATCAAATTTGTGTTTAGTAGATGTTTATGGTTGTATCTAGATATGAGCACTGGTTTGAACTTTTCCAATTAGCACATTTCCTCCTTAACTGAAACCAGTTCACTTATCCCTTATCTAAGGAAAAATATATTGGAGGCAGCCCTGCGAAGTTTCACTCGGCTGATCCCAGGTATGGAGGAACTGTCTTCTGAGGAGAGGTTGAGTAGGTAGGGTCTGTATTCATTGGATCGTAGAAGAATGAGAGGTGATCTTATTGAAACAGATAAGATTCTTCGGGGGCTTGATTTGGAAAGATTGTTTCCCCTTGTTAGAGAGTCCAGGGCTAGAGGGCATACATACAGAATAAGGGGTCACCCCTCAGTTAGGAGAGCGATGACGTGGAAATTTCTTCTCTCCGAGGGGAGTAAATCTGTGGAATTCTGTACCGCAGAGGTCTGGAAGCCTCTCTAATTACATTCCAGGCTGAGATAGCTTGATACACATTGGAGGAGTTAAGGGTTACAGGGACAAGACAGGAAATGGATGGCGATTATCAGATCAGCAATGATCTCATTGAATGGCAGGGTTGGCCGAAATGCCTACGTCTGCCCCTACGTCTTATAGTCTTGCAGACCCAGGGTGACTGCTGGCCCAAGTTTGTGACCTTCTGCTCTTTCTGGGTCATCTCTTCAACCCAATGTCACACAAAGAGATTCCAAAAGCAAATTTCTGCAAACCCTCAAATAAAAAGGGGGAGCAGTTCAAGTGGCATCTGTTCAGAGAGAGAGGAAAGCAGTTTACATTTCCAGTTAGAACATCACCCACAGTACTATCCCTCACAGTAAGATTACCAACAGTAAAATCACGGTGATATCCCTCACAATGACATGCATGACAGTAATTATCATACGGACCTGCCCTTTATTCCTCGTAGAGCGCAATCTGACAACTCTGCCTGGCACCTTGGAGGGAGGGTGGGCGGAGCGCCAGTATCAAAGATGGCAGCTCGGCCAGCCAACCGGCATCACCTCCGAGCACGCAGGCGTAGTAACCTGTACCCCTCAACGGTGGGAGGGGATCATCTCGCGATACTTGGGGCCGCCGTTCCAGCGCGCCAATTTTCAAAGGCGCTTCCTGTAAACAGAAGGATAGAGCTAGAGAGAGAGAGAGAGGATAGACAACAGACAGCTGGTCTGCCGCGGCTGTCGTCGAACCGGTCGGTCGCACTGAGGAACACCGGACAGACAACAGCAACAACAACAACTACAGTGGCGCCAACTGTCCACCGCAACGGTCCGAGGTGGAGAGCCGGGCCTCAGTTTCGATGACCTAACAATCGGACCTTACCCTGTGGAGCCCAGGATTTGATGACCTAACAGTTGGATCCTACCCCCGGGAGCCCAGGATTTGATGACTTAGTGACTGGATCCTACCCTCGGGAGCCCGGGATTTAATGACCTAACAATCGGAGCCTACCCCCGGGAGCCCAGAACTTGGTGACCAATCATTCGGAGCCTAGCTCCCAGGAGCCCAGGACTTGATGACCTAACAATCGGAGCCTAGCCCCAAGGAGTGCAGGTTTTGATGACCCAACAATCGGGGTCTAGCCCCCAGAAGCGCAGGTTTTGATGACCTAGCAACCCCTCCCGACACCGACCCAGCGAGGATGCTGTCGGAGGTGCAGCCCTGCCTGCAGCTGCTCCGTATCGGCACCGCCCCGCAGCCCAGCCCGAGGCCGGGCCAGGCCCCGGCGCCGACACTCGCCCGCGACCTCTACACATTCCTGCCGGCCGGCCAGCGCTGCACCTTCCGCCTCGGCCGCCGGGCCGACCTCACCGACCTGTGCCTGAGTTCGGGGCGGGCCGAGGAGCTCATCTCCCGGGTGCACGCCGAGCTGCAGGCCGAGAGGGGGGCGGCCGGGGGCGACTGGAGGGTGCACATCGTCGACAGGAGCACCAATGGTAAGGGCTGGGGGAGAATGGAACTAGAGGACAATGGGAAGATACGGGGGGAATGGGGTGATATGGGAAGCATACGGGGAGAATGGGAGGATACGGGGGGAGGCGGGGATTGATGGGAGAATACGGGGGGAGTGGGAAGGGGGGTCCAGGGGGGGAATGGGGAGGGTATGGGGAATGTGGAGGATACAGGGGAATGTGGATAAAGGTGATTGGGGAGGATAAAGAGGAATGGTGATATGGGAAAATGGCGTAAGGGAGTAGGATACAATGAGAAGGGTGTTTTAGTGGATGGGATACAGGGGAATGGGGGCTAAGGGGTTGGGATACAGGGCAATGGAGATATAGGGGATGGGAGAGATGGGGGTAGGATACAAGGGGATGGGGGCATGGGATAGCCTTAGCTGAGTTCTGATGGTAGTTGGTGAAGCTGAAACCAGGAATCTGTTTCTTTCTGCTGTTTTTTTTGTTTGAGGTTTTCAGCACCTGTAACATTTTGCTCTTGTCTTGGAGCTGTGGGGCAGTATGCGGTCAAAGGATGGTTTAGAGGGTGGCAGGAGGAATTAGTGCGTGGCATCAGAAATCTGAGGCCGTTTTAATGTAAAATACTGTTCTGCAGTGTAACAGTTGGTTGCCAACTGCTCAGGGTCTCTGTCATTGATGAACAGCTGTAGCCATATTTCTGTTGGCGGGAGAGGAATATAAGTAGCTCCCTCTTTTTATTTAATTATTCAGGGGTTATGGTGTGGTTGGCTAGGCTTGGTCCCCTGGAGGTGGTGGTTAGCTACTGCCCTGAACCGCAGCAATCTTGGAGAGCTGTCAGGGGAGAAACTGCAGCAAGTAGCAGTTATAGTGACAAATCTGGATGGGGTCTGGCTTGGAGGGGAGTTTGCAGTTCCTATACACCTCGCGCCCTTCTCCTTTACAGTGGTAGGGTTTGAAAGTGATGTCGGAGAAGGGTCTAGGCCCGAAACGTCAGCCTTCCTGCTCCTCTGATGCTGCTTGGCCTGCTGTGTTCATCCAGCTCTGCACCTTGTTATCTCAGATTCTCCAGCATCTGCAGTTCCTGCTATCTCGGAGGAGCCTTGCTGGGTTACTGCAGTGCATCGTGTAGATGGTGCACGTTGCTGTTGCTGTGGGTCGGCGGTGGAGGGGCTGAAGGTGGGCAGATCGCGCCCCAGTCAAACGCATCACTGGGCCCTGGCTGACGTCTACCTTGGGTGTTGTCGGTTTGAAAATGGGAAACGAAGCGAATTGTCCTGGTGCCCTCCTACCTGTGACAGATGGCTCATCGGAAGGAGACATGATGCTGTTTTAGTGTGGGATCAGATCTGCAGTTTTCCCCATAAACAGAGTGCTGTGGGTGACCTCGCTGCAGTTCTGATCGAAAGGCAGATGCGCCCTGGCCAAGCAGGACGGGGAGAGGGGAGAAAACCCAGAAGGCGAGAGGCTCCTGAGGGAGGCTACTACATCTGTGACCCGTCTGTTCTCCCCTTTTCCTGGTCGAATGCTCACAAGCTGACTGTCTGTGTCTTTTTTGTTTATTCATATGAAGAAGGGTGGGCAAAGAGAGAGACAAAACTTTACTTCCAGATGTTACTTCCGATAGATAAATAAATAAAAAGGACATTGAGGGGATGCTGTGTTCATCCAGCTCTGCACCTTGTTGTCTCTGTTGAGGGGCAACAGAAACAGCTGTTCAGATGACGGAGACCCCCGAGCAGTTGGTGTGCGGAAAGGAACTGCCAGAGGAAGGGGTGGGTGCAGGTGCGGGTTTAAAGGGCATGTGGAAAGGTGTTGGGAGAGATGTGGGCAGGCAAGTGTGGGGCTAGTTTAATTCCGGGGACTTGGTTGGCTGTGTTTCAAGTGCGTGCATGACTCTTAAAAGGAGGGGAGGGAGGTTTTAAAAAAAATAAAACGAGAAGGAAGGCAGGATTCACACTGACCGGCTGTGTTATTGCAGGTACATTTGTGAATGACATCCGGATTGCCAAAGGCGAGAGGACGGAGCTCTCAGACGGAGACACTGTCACGTTTGGCCACCCGGATGCTGTGAACATCCCGGAAGGCTCCTTGGCCGCTCAGCAGGACTCGGAGTTTTACTTCCTCTTCCAAAAGGTCCGTGTGCGCCCGGCCGACTTCGATGCCATCACCGCCGCCTCCTGCAAGGTGCAGAGAGCCGGCGGGTTCCGGCCGGTTTGCCTGTCCCCGCAGCGGGCCCGCATCCGGAGCTTCACCCGGGCCCCTGCCGCCTCCCGGGCCACCTTGATCCTGAACTCCATCGGCAGCATCAGCAAACTGAGGTCGCAGCTGGTGGTGCTGCACTCGGAGACCGCGGCGGGCGACCCGGGCAGATCCCGCCCCCTGTGCCCGGCTGCCCGGCGACACCCCGCCGCCGCCGCCGCCGCCGCCACCCAGGGCGGCACCGCCCCAGCCCTGCAGGGGACGTGCGACCGGCCGGTGACCAAGCACCGGCGGAAGACCGTTCACACCGTCCTGCCGGACCTGGAGGAGGAGATCCAGCGGTTCACGGTCGAGGTGCAGCAGAGTGCCCCGAGCCGCCGGCACTGCAAGTCCGAGTCGGATGTGGACGCAGACCTGTACCGGCAGCTGACTCTGGGTGTCCGAGCGCTGTCACCCGAACAACAGCCCACCCTCAAGAAGCACAAGCTGGAGCCCGGTGCCCACGTCCCCCGAAATGCAATAGAGAATGCACACATCACCCCCACTGGGTATGTCCCTGTGCACTCCTCGTGTGTCACTTGTTACCGGAGGTTGAAGGACCCAGGCTCCGGATGATCTCTTAGACCTTTACTTGTCTTTCGACCTCTCAGCCTTCATA